TAATGGGATATTTTATCAACCCCAAAATGGTGAATAATGGGATATTTTTTAACCCTAAAATGGTGAATAATGGGATATTTTTGTAACCCTAAAATGGTGAATAATGGGATATTTTATTAACCCCAAAATGGTGAATAATGGGATATTTTTTTAACCCCAAAATGGTGAATAATGACACACACAGGTGATGTCACCAGAGCTGTGCTGAGCTGGCGCTGCAGGCTTGGCTCTTACACAAAAGCTGCCAAGAAATCTCAGGATGGACATTGCACTCTGGCTTTGGAGAGCTTTCCTGGGCACCAACCTCTCTGAACAAGGAGGTTTTGCCAGAGTCAGGGTTTAATAGAGAAATGGAAGCCTTGGCCCCGTGTTCTCCTTTCCCATCCCACACGAAAAAAGAGCAGGGACAGCACAGAGTGTCCTGGTTCTGGTGTAAATCAGGGGTAAATCAGCTTTTGGTGCTGCCAGGGGGCTGGAGGGGAGTGAGGTCAGTGCTGAGTTTCCAGCAGTGAGTTTCTCCTGCTGGAGGGTGTTTTGGAGGCTGTTAATCAGCACATCCAAAAATCCAATCAAGTCCTTGCAGTGATTAGGAGAGGAAGATCAAACTGTGTGTGTACAAGAGGGATGGAGTGGGCATCTTGCTGTTGGTGCAACTGAATTGAGCAAACCCTGCTCCTTCCAGAGCCTTGGGTTTAAATTTCAAAATATTTGGCAATTAGATGGGAATAATTGAAACAATTAAAATTATTACTCTAAGGGGGAAGGTGTAAAGGAGGTTTCCCAGTGCCTCAAGTCAGGCAGGGCAATTCACTGGGTGCAGTTTTGTGCAGACAGGGCCTGGGTGTCCCTGGCAGTGAAGGATTCCCTCTTTGGGCTTGTCCCCAGCATGCAGACACTGCTCACTGCCTCCCCACTGCCCAGGCACTCTGGGTTATTAAAAATGAGATAAGGATCGAGGTCCTGCACACACACACAGCTGCAGAACAGGATCACCAGCAAAATCGATGCTGGAAGGAGCTCAGGAGCTGCTGCAGTGCTCAGCAGCACAGTGGCTGCTGCAGGGGGAAAAATTACCAGGAACCACTCTCAGGAGGGACATCCCAGCATGGCAGGGCAGCACAGGTGCCTACATGCTTTAAAATACATTATTTTATTTTTTTTTTTTGCCAGGCAGCTGCATGACAGGGATAATTTCCTGCTGGGCTGGCCCTTCACATGCTGTCCCAGGGTGACAGGGGCAGGGCAGGAGGGACAATTGCCAAACTCAGGGGCAGGAGCAAGGCAGAAGGGACAATTCCCTCCCAAATTCAGGGGCAGGAGATGAGGGACAATTCCCTCCCAAATTCAGTGACACGGGCAGGACAGGAGGGACAATTCCCTCCCAAACTCAGGGGCAAGAGCAGGACAGGAGGGACAATTCCCTCCCAAATTCAGTGGCAGGGCAGGAGGGACAATTCCCTCCCAAACTCCCTGAGCCAGGTGAGGTGGGAGAGGATTTGTGGGTGCAGAATCCTGGTTGGGATCAGGCTGATTCTCCATCCAGATCTGCAGAGCCAGACTTGCAGAGGGCATCACTGGCTCCTGATGGCTTTGGGTCCCTAAAGAAGGGGAGTGTGTCCTGCAGATCTGCTCATAACTGGAAAATCCCATTTTATGGCTTTAGGATCACAGAGCTCACCTCTGTGGCTTTTATTAACCAGCTCCTCCCAGTGCTGGGGTCATTCCAGGGGATTTTTGTGCTGCTGGAAAGCGAAGAGTGCAGGTGGAGAGCTGCAGAAAGCCAGGCAGTGACTTCATCCTCTAATAACTCCTCCAGCACCGTCTCCCAGGGAACCCCGTGGAATTCAATTAGCTAATTGTGTGCCTAGCACTCGGGAAAATACAGAATGCCACGGAATTGCTAAGTGTTGTTATTTAACAGCACACATTTCATGGTTGCAGCCCTGTAGTAGCAGTCAGAAAATCCACACTGTAATTGCCTGCTGGTGCCTGCTGCTGAATTTGCTGTGATCGGAGCAAGGCCTGGGGATTTTTTATTTCTGTAAAAAAGTTCATTAATTTTGGCTGCAGATCCTCCGGGTCTAATTTTTTTGCCGAGTTCTCTTGAAACAGAATATTGACATGTGGTGGGTGTTGTCAAAAACAGAGTGGAAAGAGGGGGAGGAATTGAGGCAGGCAGGATTTGTGTCCCTGAAATTCACCTTGGCACGATTCCTGGTGGTCTCTGTGCCTCATGTTGGACTGAGATTGAAGAGCCAAGTTTTGGGCAATTCCTGCAATTCCTCCAATGTAAGGAGAGGGATAAAAAAAACCAGAATGAGAGGAAATGAGGGAGCTGCTGTTTGCACCCATCATTTTGATGGCATTTTCTGAAAGCCTGTGGTTATAAAGCTGTGTTTGCACAGGTGGAGGAGGCTTGGAGTCCCCTCCTAAACAGGATTGGCAGAGTTATTTTCCTAATGGCTCTTTGCTCTTATTGCATTGGCAATCTCCTATCCTTCCAGCCAGGATGAGGGAGAGTAACTCCAGGAGGAGAAACAGGCAGCTGGGAAAGTGTTTTGTGTAGGAATATCTTTCACTACATCTTGGGGAGAAATCCTTGGCTTCCCACCTGAAAACATCCCTGAGATCAGGAGTTTCCCACCTGAAAATATCCCTGAGATCAGGGGTTTCCCACCCTTGTCCTGCCTGTGTTTGCCTCTTGCAGGAGGAGGGCAGGACAGGACGGATGGGAAATCAGCTGAGAGGTGCAGGTCTGGAATAGCAATCCAGGTTTTGTTTGCAAAACGTGGGTTTGGAAATGTCAAGCATGGTGAATGAGTGTAAAAAGGAGGAAAAGAAAAAACCCTCAACAAATAGGGCCAGAAGCTGAGCTGGCGGCTCTGGGAGTATGGGGATGCTCTCACCCCTTTGCCCTCTGCAGCAAAGCCTGACCTTACCAAATCTCTCTTATCCCACTGCAAATGAAGTGTGTCCCCCTCGGGTGGTTTATCTCCATCTCATTGCATAGGCAGCTCACGGCTCATTTGCTCCCTGCTCCTCTGCTGGAAAGGCATTTCATGGCCAAAAATGGGAGCTGGAGCAGAGGGAAGGGACAAGGAGCAGGGTCCAGGCCGTGCCACCCCTGTGTGTCACAGAGGTGATGCTTTATGGACGGGACAGCCACAGGAATGGGGTTTTCTGCAGCAGGAAAAAGATGGATTTGGAGAGGGTTGGCTGTGGGAAAAGACCAAAGCTTGCCCAGTGGTGATGGGAGGCAGGCAAAGCTGCTGGCAGTGTTTAGCCAGAGCAGATTATTGGCTCTGGGGGAGCCTGTGGGGGCCTGGCTGTGGCTGTTTGCAGGCACAGAGTCCTGGCAGCTGCCTCGGGGCAGGGAATTTACCCAGGGAAAGTGGGAAAGGATCCCTTCAGGGGGCTGGTCCTGACCACTCAGGGCAGCGGGGCCTGTGGGCTCAGCCCCGAGGCTGTGCCTGGCTGGGGTGAATCTCATCCCTGCCTCAGTTTCCCCACGTGAACTGAGACCATCCCCTCACCTATTAATTGCTTATTTAAAGATCTGAGCATAACAAAACCCTCAGCTTCAAAAGCTTGGAAGCGTTTCCAGGGGACAAAAGGCACAATAAATAATTAAATAAACACATGAATTTCAGCTGCCCTGGCACAAGATAAAACCTGGGATTTTGTGACAAAACATCTCATTTCCCTCCTGGATATGCCGAAGCCAAGAGGGCAGTGGGGGCAGCTGTTTGCCTGGTGCCCTGCACAATTTGCCTGGAGGCTCTGGCTGAGGGGAGAGAGGATTTGAGAGGGCTTTAGGATCCATCAGCATCTGCCCTGCTCGCTGGGGCTGACAGGATGCCCTGGGTGAATGGATCACCTGTCAGCAAGGCAGGGCGAGAATATCATTCACACGAATCTATAGCTCACAGGCAATTTCACATTACCCAACACAAACGTGTCCAAAATGTGCTTCATCCTGCCTTTGGTGGCATTCCCATGGGACCTGGCTGGGCTGGAGAGGTTTTGTAAGCCCCATGTTTGGGAGATTTACAGGAATTGCTCCTGCGTGCCCAGCAAAGATAAAAAAATGGCTCAACTTGCTGGAATTTCATCCCTCAGGGAGCCCAGGGCCAGCTGGATCCGTGATGGGCATCCAGCAGTTGCTGCAAGTGTCACTCCCACCTTCTCACTCTACTTCAGCAATTAGCAGAAGAGAAATTAGTGAGGAAAGTGCCATTATTCCCTGCTAATAGGACAAGGAGGGCTGGACTTTTCCCCAGGCTTTGTTGTGTAGCTGCTTCCGTGGATGTGAGGAGCAAAACCGAGCCCTCCACTCTAATTTTTTTAAAATGTAGTTAAATGTATTTTTTTAATATATTTTTTATGTTTTAATATATTTTAAATATATATTTTTAATATAATTTTTTAAATGTAGTTATAAAAAAACTATACTTTTTTAATGTAGTTGTTTTTATATTTCCTAGCACTTGCAGAAATGCAAGGGGAGGCTCCCAGCTCCAAAACTCGCAGTCAAGGCACCCTCCAACCCTCCCCAGGGCATTAGGGTGGCATCTCCTCCTGGCAGCAGAAAGGAGCAGGGCAGGGCTGGGGGTTTTTAGGATGAGGCAGAATTGGGTTCCTCCCCCTGTGGGAAAGAACTGATTTAATTTAACAGTTGGAACCTGGCATCACCAAATTGGATGTGGTGATGGCTTCACTCAGCAGATGAGTGACGCCCTCTTTGGAGGGTTTTGGGGTTTTTTTTGTGGAATTTGGCCAATAAAGCACTGGACTTGGGTGATATCTTCATTAAAAACCTGAGGTGAGCAGCGCCCTGAATTCAATCCTGGTTGAAACCCAGGCTCTCCCTTCCAACAGCTGCATGGGTTTCACATCCAGGGTCTCACAGCTCCCACTCCCTTCAAGGGCACTGAGTGGCTCTGCAGCTTTCAGTGCCTCTTTTCTCCTCTAATCCCATTTTCTGTTTTGGGCTGCTGCAGGAGTTTTCCCTCCAGCGCCTGGACACCCTGCTGGACGACCGAGTCAACATCCTGGGGTTCTCCATTTTCAACCAGTCCCACGCCTTCTTCCAAGAGTTTGTCCAGAGCCTCAACCAGTCCTGGCAGGAGAATTGTGACCACGCTCCTTTCACTGGGCCTGCAGTAAGTAAAGTCCATTCCCGTCCCCCAGAACCTCCCTGAGCTGGGAATTCTGATCACACCATGGAAAAACCTTGTGGGAAGAGCTTCAGGATGGTCCTGAGCAACTCAGGGGTAGAAACTCTGATCTCAAGTAATTTTTTTAAAAGTTGTCTGAATTATTAAATAATTTAATTATTTAATCCTATTTAATCTTGTGCTAAAGAGCTCAGGGATATCCCCAGGCTGCTGTTGTACCTCGGATTAGATTTTATGAGGAGATGCTGGTCCAGGAATGGGAAGGAAGAGCCAGAGCAGAACATTTTTATTAAGTAGGTAGGAGAGGACTTGAGCTGTCAATCTGTGATTCACAGAGGATGTGGAAAACAGCAAAGTGACCCTGAAAGTCAGAGCTGCCCAAAGGACCTTGGGGTGCAGAGCTGCTCTGTGCTGGACTGGGAGCCCAGCCTTAAATTCCAGCCTAATCTTGATTTGGATTGCATTTCTCTGTGGGTGCAGGGGATGCTGCAGCTCTGATTTGGTTTTTCCCTCATGAAGTTCATCCCTGTGTGTTTAAACTCCAGGGAAGTGGCTCATGGAGGGGGTTTGTGGCTGCAGATGGCCCAGGAGGAGCTGGGCCAGGCAGATGCTGCGGGGCTGAGCTGGGCTCCAGCAGCTCCGTGAGGAGGGTGCACATCAGCCCTGGAGCATTCCCCAGGGATTCTCCACCACTGGGAGAGTTTGCAAAGCAGATTTGCCACATCAGAGCTGCAGCTGTGAGAGGAGGGAGAAAGAGAGAGATGAAAATATCATCAGCTGAAGCCTTTGCGTGGATTTTAATGAACTCAGAGCCCCTTGACGAGCTGAGCTGCTGAAAACCTCCTTATTGTCACCACAAAGGGAGCCTTAAGAGGCAAAATAAGGAGATTTTTTGCCCTTTGTGTCCACATCCTTTGGCTTGACTTGAGCTCCTGTGCCTGGGACCGTCCTGCTCTCCCTCCCACCCAGAGGCAGCTGCAATCAGCTTGCCCTGCTCAGTCTCCATGGGATTTCTAGCAGGAAGATTCCTTTTTGGATTGCAGGGGCTGTGGAGAGGCATTAAAAACAAATTCCCTCCTCCCAGTGCAAACAGGAGACAGCAGGAACCAGCAGCAGGTGTGATGGGGAAATGGAAATTCTCATTTTAGGTTCCTACCCTGTGTTGCATTGAGCATCCAGCAAAACCTGTGGGTGGGAGGATGTCTGGAGGGACTGGAATTCTTCAAGGTGGAACAGCCCAGGTGATACAAAAAGGATTTGAGGGTAGGGAAGTTACAGAGCAGAGGTGAAATATTCCCAAGCAGAGTTTATTTTGTCTGTGAGGTGAATCCAGGACCTTTCTGCCTCTGCTGTCGGAAATCTGGCAGGGAGCATCTCTGTGTGCAGCCCTGGGATGGGATAACTCATCCTAAAGAGAGAAAAGGGAGCTCAACAGCTGGAAGTGACAGGAGGGAGGTTTCCTGTGAGCTGCAAAAATCCCAGGGCATTCTTGCTGGAGCTGAGGAAGCATCTGACAAAGGAGGAGGGAGCTGCCTGCTCCGATGCCATCCTCATTAATCACATTGCAAAGAAAGGAAATCAGAGAAAATCATTCAAATTACAGATGGCTAGATTTGGTAATTAGAATTTAGGCTAAAACAGATGTTTGTAATTAAGTGTTTATGTCATTGAATAAAATCCAGATTGCAAAGTCTATTTCACAGGGTTTTAATGGCTTTAATTCCCCGTGTTGGGTTTGGGGGCAAAGATACAGCTGATAATGTTTCAGGGAGGGAAGAAAAAAACCCCACATGGCAAAACCCAAACCTGTTCATGTTTCAGTGACAAGAATTGTCAAGAATTTGGGGATTGAGGGAAGTCCCCCAAGCCCCATGGATTTTCCATGGAGCTCTGGTATTGCGGAAGGGCACGAAGCCACCAGGGCTCTGCTCAAATCAGAGTGCAGGTGAGGGAGAGAATCAATTTGTTAGCAGGAAAATTGGCTTTTTGTGACACTGGGAGAAAGCTGTGGTTTAAAATGAGAATATAAAAGTAGTGAGAGGTTTTTATGGGTGGCATGGGGAAAGTTGAGGAATGCACAGGAGGGCAGGGACAGATCCCTTTGGCTGGATCTGCCTGGAGGACACTCCAAAAATCTCTTTTCACTCCTCTGCTGAAGGTTATGACCTCAAAACTTTGTGCTTTACCTATTTTCTGTGCAAAATCAGGGTGCAGGGAAGGGATTCCTATTCCATGCCATGAGGATTTGATCCTGTGTATCTCCACACCCTCCTCAGTACTTAAATTGCTTGAAATCATCAAGGGTGATGGCAGAAATCCTAATGAATTTTCCAGAATTCAGAAGTAAAACATTCCAATCAGTAATGTCAAATGCTTCACTGAGGTCTACAAGTCTCTTGCTCACCATCTAATAAGGGATTAACTGCTCAGGGAAAATGGAAATGGAAACCCAGCAGGAGAAAATTAAAAATGCTGGGCCAATATTCAGATTTGGTAGGAAATGGGGGAAATTTTGGGGTTGCAGGGGATGTGTTTGGTCCCATAACAGTTTCATTTGTCCAGCTGATGTTAATATGTTTCTGATTCAGGAAAGGAATTGCAAATTGGGTGTGAGATCCTGTAACCTGAACAGGATTAAATTCATAATTAAAACTAAGTGCATGGAAAGAGCTTCATGGAGCAGGGGCTGAGGACAGGACAGGCTGGAGAAGCCCTGCTAGGAAAAGAATTTGTATTAAAGGGATAAAAGAAGGAGAGAAGATTTTATCAGCTTCTTTAAGAATCTCTGGAAAAGGTTTTCCAGGAGGGGAATGTTTAGGTCAGCCTCAGCAGGTTGGAGGAGTGAGAGGTCACTGGTGTTGTCAGAGCTGGTGTTTGGGGTTTTGATGGAATCCTCCCTTTTAATTTAGGATGGCTTGTAAGCTTTGAGAGGGTTTGTGCTGCTTTTTAAGTGTCCAATCCCACACCAGTGTGGTCAGTGAGGTCTAAGTAAGACTGAGCAGGGTTAAGTCAAAATTAGCAACAAGAAGCCCAAGGATTGTTGGGATCATTGAGCTGGGTGAGATTGTCCCTGCAGCAGAATAAACCTGGTCAGGTCAGGGAGGAGGAGAGGCTGCAGGGCTGGCAGCCACAGCCTGGGTGAGGTGGGGGAAGCAGCCCCAGGCTGGAGACTGAGCCCTCTGCCAGGAGCTGGGATGGGAAGAGGATGCTCTTGGATGCATCCATGGGGAAAATGCAGCCTTGATAGTAATGAGCTGCAACGGCTTAATTCCAGCAGTCAGGAGGTGACAGTAATTAAAAGTGAAATCTCAGCTGCAACAGTGAGCACGAGGGAGAAAAATAGCTGATTGTTAAGGAGCCCAAAGCCATGGAAACTGCTGTGCATGAGTGAGGAACGGGGCTCTGAGGCTTGGTGGGCAAAGGAACCTGGACAAAGCAACCAAAGCCAAGGTGAGCAGCAGAGGGGATGAGCTCTGACACCTGGACATGGCCTCAGCACTGCTGCTCCAGGTTGTGGGGAGGGATGGATGATCTCTGTCTGTGGGGTCTGGAATGCAGCATTTGGCTGCTGGACAAGCAGATCTAGCAATTTCTCGTGGGTCTGCCTGTCAAAGAAGTGGTCAGAGAAGGCTGCCCATGATGGCTGAAGAAGAGGCGAGTTCCCTTCTGTGGGAGCAGCCATCAGATCTCAGGAGAAATTCCCCCTGGAAATTCCTGCTTCTCTCTGGCCAGCAAACTGATCAGAGCCACCAAAACCCTGAAAAACCTCCCTTGATTAGGAAAGGAAAACTGCAGAAACTGAGATAGAAAGGACTGGGAAGCAACAAGGACGAGCAGAGATAGAGAGATGACGGTGATGGATGAAATGAGCCCTCACAAAGGGTACCCCAGCTGACCTCATGTCACTATAGGACATGAAATAAATAAATACACACACTAAATTCATTCCCTCGCCCAGTGATTGCTTATTTAAAGATCAGAGCATAGCAAAACCTTCAACTTCAAAGGCTTGGAAGTGTTTTCAGGGGACAAAAAAGCACAATAAATAAATAAACACACTAATTTATGGTATGAAAATAGCATGACTTGGACACACAGCTCTCTCAAGGTAAAAAGAGAATTTTTAATTTCTGACTCCAACATTTATAGATTTCCAAAAGTGGCAGTGGATTGGAGGGTGACAGTGCCACCTCTCCAATGACACTGGACAAACCAACAGCCCATCAAATTTCTCCTCCTCCATAAAAAAATAGAAAACAATCAGTTATTTACATGATGTGGACATGCAGCTCTCTCAAGGTAAAAAGAGAATTTTAAATTTCTGATTCCAACATTTATAGATGTATAGATAACATTTATAGATTTCCAAAAGTGACAGTGCCACCTCTTAAAATGACACTGGACAAACCAATAGTCCATCAAATTTCTCCTCCCTCCGTAAAAGATATAAATTATTTACATAAAGTTATTACAAAAAGATATAAAATATATAAAAATATATATAAAAAATATCTATATATATTTACAAAATTTATTACGTAAAGGATATAAGTTATTGACAATAAGTTATTTACATAAAATGCACGAGGAAGTTCATTACAAGAATATAAACACCAGGAGGTTTGGAAAATCTTAAAAAATCAAGGTGACAACCTGAGGCTGTGCAGAGAACACTCTACAGCTCTGAGGAGCAGTAGGACGGGGGATTTTTGTGTTCCAAGCTGATTTTTCCCTGTTTTTTCCCCTCAGCTGTCCTCGGCGCTGCTGTTTGACGCCGTGTAAACTGGACAAACCAATGGTCCATCAGATTTCTCCTCCCTCTTTAAAAGATATAAGTTATTTACATAAAGTTATTACAAAAAGATATAAAATATCTATAAATATATATATAAAATATCTATATGTATTTACAAAATTTATTACGTAAAGGATATAAGTTATTTACAATAAGTTATTTACATAAAGTGCCCGAGAAAGTTCGGTACAAGAATAGAAACACCAGGAGGTTTGGAAAATCTTAAAAAATCAAGGTGACAACCTGAGGCTGTGCAGAGAACACTCTCCAGCTCGGAGGAGCAGCAGGATGGGGGATTTTTGTGCTCCAAGCTGATTTTTCCCTGTTTTTTCCCCTCAGCTGTCCTCGGTGCTGCTGTTTGACGCCGTGTAAACTGGACAAACCAACAGTCCATCAAATTTCTCCTCCCTCTGTAAAAGATATAAGTTATTTACATAAAGTTATTACAAGAAGATATAAAATATATATATATATATATAAAATATCTATATGTATTTACAAAATTTATTACGTAAAGGATATAAATTATTGACAATAAGTTATTTACATAAAGTGCGCGAGAAAGTTCGTTACAAGAATATAAACACCAGAAGGTTTGGAAAACCTTAAAAAATCAAGGTGACAACCTGAGGCTGTGCAGAGAACACTCTACAGCTCTGAGGAGCAGTAGGACGGGGGATTTTTGTGCTCCAAGCTGATTTTTCCCTGTTTTTTCCCCTCAGTTGTCCTCGGTGCTGCTGTTCGATGCCGTGTACACTGGACAAACCAACAGTCCATCAGATTTCTCCTCCCTCTGTAAAAGATATAAGTTATTTACATAATGTTATTACAAAAAGATATAAAATATCTATAAATATATATATAAAATATCTATATGTATTTACAAAATTTATTACGTAAAGAATATAAGTTATTGACAATAAGTTATTTACATAAAGTGTGCGAGAAAGTTCATTACAAGAATAGAAACACCAGGAGGTTTGGAAAATCTTAAAAAATCAAGGTGACAACCCCAGGCTGTGCAGAGAACACTCTCCAGCTCGGAGGAGCAGCAGGATGGGGGATTTTTGTGCTCCAAGCTGATTTTTCCCTGTTTTTCCCCCTCAGCTGTCCTCGGCGCTGCTGTTTGACGCCGTGTACGCGGTGGTGACGGCGGTGCAGGAGCTGAACCGCAGCCAGGAGATCGGCGTCAAGCCCCTGTCCTGTGGCTCAGCGCAGATCTGGCAGCACGGCACCAGCCTCATGAACTACCTGAGAATGGTGAGAGGGGGCTGAGGGATGCTCCTGGCTGCCACAGGGCTCTTGGAAGGCACTGAAAAGTCAGATCTGAGGGTTTGGGTTGGCACCTGTGACCGTGTTCACAGGGGTCTGAGGATGAGGGAAGAGACGAGGATCTGACTCCATGTTTCAGAAGGTTTGATTTATTATTTTATGATATATATTATATTAAAACTGTACTAAAAGAATAGAAGAAAGGATTTCATCAGAAGGCTGGCTAAGAATAGAAAAAGAAAAAATGATAACAAAGGCTTGTGGCTCTGACAGAGAGTCCGAGCCAGCTGGGCTGTGATTGGCCATTGATTAGAAACAACCACATGAGCCCAATCCCAGATGCACCTGTTGCATTCCACAGCAGCAGATAACCATTGTTTGCATTTTGTTCCTGAGGCCTTTTAGCTTCTCAGGAGGAACAATCTTAAGGAAAAGATTTTTCATAAAAGATGTCTGTGACAGTCACCGGCCTTGGAACGACATGAAACTCTCCCTTTTTCAGTCTTTGCTGCAGAAAAGCTGGAATTCAATTGTTTGGTTTTTTTTTTAAGTATGAATGTTTCTAAGTGATCCGAGCTCTGACTTGAGCTGATACAAGATCATGCAGTACAATTGCTCAGAGCTCAAGGGCAGGATGTAAGTTCCCCTATGGGTTTGGGCTCCTTTGAACCCAAAATTGTCGTTTCTGGGACGAAACAAGCCTAAATCTGGCACGAGAACACTCTGAAATCCCAGCCTTTTGAAATAGTTGGAGTTTGTGGCTCCTCAGAGCTGAAGTGACCATGCAGTAGGAGCAGGTTTCTGACTCTGTTTGGGTGTAAATGAGACAAGGAAATTTTATAAAGTTTTTTTATTTATGAGAGATTTTTCCCCTCAGAGGAAAGCTCAGCTGAACCTGAGCATTGTACCACTTTGGCCCATTGTTTTAAATCCCACCTTTAGCCAGAGACAACAAAATCCTCCAGCTCCCCACAGCTCTGCTTCTCAAAGACCCAGTGGTCTGAGCTTTGGGATGGAGGGGGTGTGGAGCTGGTTTTCCCAAAACAAGGAAATCTGGGAGTCCTGCACCTCGTGCTGCTGATTCCCTGCTCCTCTCCTTGTCTTTTCTCCTCTAGCCAGACTCCAAAAATAATCAGCACTGAGCTAAGAGGGTTGCAGTGCTGTTCCTGCAGGGAGTGTGGGGTGTGTTGGGCCATCCCTCCTGTGTCTGGACAGAGAACTCTCAGAACTTTGGGCCTGGAAGCCAAAACTTAGAATTAAACACAGGATTTGATTTGAGACCTTGGAGAAGGCTTCCAAACTTAGGTGCTGGAAGCAAGAATGTGGATTTAGAGTTTAAAGCAGAGACACATTAAGCTAAGTAGAGAAAAGTTTAGAGTTTTAGAGTACAGTTCTGTAGAGTTTTAAAGAACAGTACTGTACTCTAAAACTGTCCAGTTCAGGGTCTTTAATGTGTTTCTGTGCTTGAAATAATGGCTTTAGATTCTTTGCTGGAATCCACTTTGGTCCTGGACCTGTGGAGACACAAGCATTCCCTTTGCCCCAGGTTATTAGTGGAAATGGACCTTCAATTTGTCCTGGTTTTGGGTTTCTGATCAGGAGTGCAGGATTTTCTTTCAGTTTTGCCTGTGTGCTGTCAGCCAGACGCCTGAGGCGGGGTGGGGCAGCCCCGCTGGGCGCTGTAACTGAGTCTCTCTTGGACAGGTAGAATTGGAAGGTCTCACCGGCCACATCGAATTCAACAGCAAAGGCCAACGCTCCAACTACGCCCTGAAAATCCTGCAGCACACCCGGGGTGGATTCCGGCAGGTGAGAGCAGCCAGGGGAGGGCTGGGAGGTGGCCTGGGCTCAGGGGGTGCTCTGGGAACCAAAAGGGGCTGTGAAATACCCTGTGGTATTTTCTGGGGTCCCCCATGGCAGGAAGGAATGAATCTGACTCCATGTTCTTAGAAGGCTGATATATTATATTACATATTATATTATATTATATTACATATTATATTATATTATATATTATACTATATTATAAAATATATTTTATATTATATTACATTACATTACATTATACTATATTATACTATATTATATATATTATACTATACTATAATATATATTATATATTATAGTATAATATATACTATACTATATATACTATACTATATATACTATACTATTACATTACACTATATTATACTATACTGTATTATATTATTCTCTATTATTCTCTATTATTCTCTATTATTCTATATTATATTATTCTATATTATTCTATATTATATTATACTAAAACTATACTAAAGAATAGAGAAAGGATACAGACAGAAGGCTAAAATATAATAATGAATCTCATGACTCTCTCCAGAGTCTGAGACAGCTGGACAGTGATTGGTCATTAAGTTAAAACAATTCACATGAAACCAATCAAACAATGACCTGTTGGTAAACAGTGTCCAAACCACATTCCAAAGCAGCAAAACACAGGAGAAGCAAATCAGATAATTATTGTTTTCTTTTTTCTCTGAGGCTTCTCAGCTTCCCAGGAGACGAAATCCTGGTGCAGGGATTTTTCAGAAAATGTGACTGTGACAGACCCTCCTTGTTTGCACCATGAGGTGCTTGGGGTGTCACCTTAGCTCTGGCAAACTCAGCATGTTTGATTTTATCAGGAATGTGCCTCAGGAGGGTTTGGATTTGTGTGAATCCATCAGGGAATGGAGGGGGTGATGGCAGAGCCAATCTCTGCCCTGTCCCAGGTGCTAATTCAGGGCAGGGAGCCTGTGCCAAGGGCAAGCTCACACTCACACTCCTTTGGTTCTTAAGCTTGTGGCTGTGTTTGCTTAAAATTATTTGGATGGGGGGAAAATGGGAGGATTTTCTATGAAATAGGAAAAAAATGGGTACTGTGAGTATTTTCAAACTGTTTCTGGGAGGGAAAGCAAATGGGGCAAACCCATGTGAGGAGGGCCCCTGTGAGGGGAAGTTCCAGCTCATTTCACTCCTGGTTCCTGGCTCCTCTCTAACAGGTTTGCTCAGCTCACACTCATTTACTTTTTGTCTCGGTGCTCGTAGGTTCTTCACAGCTTTCCTCTGCCCACAGAACACTGAGCAGATCTCATTAGAATCATTAATTTGAGTGGTATTTCCTCATCTCACACTTTCTGCCCAAGCCATATTTTCTGGTTTGAGCTGAAGTTGAGGATATCAGACTGATGAGATTACACGACACAAATCCAAGGAATTTGCTGGTAAATCCAAACCTTATTCAGGAGGAAAAAAGAAATTAGAAAAAAAAAGGGTTTCATCTGTCTTGTTTCCCTGCCGACAGCTCCACTGCTGCCCTTTTCTCAGAGATTGCCACTTCTAGATGCTGGCAGAGAACAAAAGCTATTGTACCCTACCCTCACCAACAGAGCATTTTGGCACCAGGATCCCTCTCCTGGCCTGGCAGCAGTGAATTTCAGCCTTGGCAAGGATGTTACCTGCCAGTTCTTACCTGTCAAGTGACAGCTTGGCTTTGATGCTGCCTTTCTCTGAGCAAGCAGGGGGGATCACGATGGCGTTTTCCCCACAGAGATCTCTCACAGCATCAATGCCCTTTTAATCCTCTCCCAAACCCTTCACCCTCTGAACAGAAGTGACAGATCCAAGCCCATCTGCATTAATAAGGGCACAAATTCAGCTGGATTCAGGGAGGAAAGGCTGCAAAGCTCCCTGTGGCAGCTCTGGTTTTGATGTGTTTGAGCGTGGCAGGGACTGCATGTTAAACTCACAGGTCCTTTTGGGGCAGAGCTTCTCCCAGAGCTCCGTGGGGAGCTGTGGCTGCAGCCTGATCTGCCCTGAGAATAAAGCCTCATCTCCTCCCCACAGACCTGCTGTGACAGGAGAAAACCTTTGCTGCCCTGTTGTAACAGCTCGGTGAAAAAGGAGCTTTGTGGCTGTGACATGCCCAGGAAAGCTGCCCTGGGATCAGGCTTCCCAAATCCCCCATCAGAGGGGGTGAAGCACTTCCAGCCTCAGGGAGAAAGTGCTGGAAGGACAGGGCAGACCCTTGGGGGAGGCTGCAAGCCCTGCCCTGTCACAAACCCGCCAGGAAAGAGCTGATTTTCATAAAACTGCTCCTGTCTCAGCTTTTCTGCCTTCTCTCCCTTTCTCAGGGAGCTTTTCTGATCCACAGCAGTGCCCACAGGGGGCTCAGGGTCCTTCCCAGCCTGAGGGAGTTTGTTGAGATGTGTTTAACTGGGAAGAGCCTCCCCTCCTGCCCAACCTGCCTCCCCTCCACGTTCCTGCCAAAAGAAGCCAAAGGCAGCTCTGCTGTGCCATAAATGGTTATTTTCTTGTTGCCAGCCTGGCTTCTTTTAATGAAAAGGCCTAAATAAATCATTAGAAATATTTTAATTAAAGGAACAGAGTAAAGAACAGGCATTCACATCCTGGAGACAATCTTGCTCCCAAGGGCTGTATTAACTGATTTGTTTGAAACACTTCTATTCCCTGCTTAGTTTTAACCAAGCTCATTTTAGCTCTGCCCATTCCTCTCTTCCTCTCTTTCCCTCTTTCCCTCTCCTCCTCTCTCTCCTTCCACCCAGTGAAGCCACAGGGACTTCCAGCTCATCAGCTTTGATGGAGAGTTCACCGAATTTTGAGGCTGATCCAGCCAGGAAGCAAATTAAGAGACATTTAGATTCTCTAACTTGCTGCTGCTTTTGGGCAAGGAGAGGCAGGGCTTTTTGACATCCAATTTTTAATTCATTTATGTAACGCACCAAACGCTTCTTTTCCTGATTTAGCTTAACCAGAGGAATTTTTTCCACAGCCATATGAGAGCTGCTCTGTCTGCTCACAGGATGCTCGATAAAGCACAGGCTCATTAATGTGCTGGTGATCTATAGATCTGACAAGGGCTGGCTTTGGTAAATGTCATCTTTTTATTTTTTTTTTTTTCTTTATTTTTTTCCCCCCCTTTCTTTGCCCCTCTAAAAAACACCGCAGAGTTCCAGCAGAGTGATTTGCTGTAAATCATGAGCTGAGGTTTGGGAACTTCATGGAGGGAAGGGAGTGAGAGTGGCTGTGATTTAGGGAGGGGAAGGGGAAGCTGCAGACCCTGACCCCATCCTAAGTGAGGCTGATCAGTCTCTATTTAACCACAGGCCCTGCTGGTGTCCTGGGACAGGCTGGGGCTGTTAATTGGGATGTTGATGAGATACAGATGAGTTCCCCACCAATAGCTCTGGGACCCTTCTCGGTCCCTGCCACATCAAACCTTTTTAATTTGGCAGCAGCTAATCAGCCTCGGTGGGACTGGCTCCTCTTTAGCTGCTGCCCCCAGGAACAGCCCAGGGACAGGTTCTGGATGGTTTCTGCCCCAGGGACAGGTTCTGGATGGTTTCTGCCCCAGGGACAGGTTCTGGATGGTTTCTGCCCTCAGGAACAGCCCAGCAACAGGTTCTGGATGGTTTTTGCCCCAGGAACAGGTTCTGGATGGTTTCTGCCCCCACGGACAGGTTCTGGATGGTTTCTGCCCCCAGGAACAGGTTCTGGATGGTTTCTGCCCCCAGGAACAGCCCAGGGACAGGCTCTGGATGATTTCTGCACCCAGGGACAGGCTCTGGATGGTTTCTGCACCCAGGGACAGGTTCTGGATGGTTTCTGCACCCAAGGACAGGTTCTGGATGGTTTCTGCCTCCAGGAACAGGCTCTGGATGGTTTCTGGATGGTTTCTGCCCCCAGGAGCAGGTTCTGGATGGTTTCTGCCCTCAGGAACAGGTTCTGGATGGTTTCTGCACCCAGGAGCAGCCCAGGGACAGGTTCTGGATTGTTTTTGCCCCCAGGGACAGGTTCTGGGTGGTTTCTGGATGGTTTCTGCCCCCAGGACCTGACAAACTCAGTGTGTGCCACTGCAGCCCTGCCTGGGCTGTGCCAGGTGCCAATCATGGGGTCCAGAGGGGACATCTGGGAGATGCTGGTGGGGTGAGCAGAGCATCGTGGTTCTTTGGTTTAACAGTTGATGCTTTCAGTGCTGATTTCAGTGCAGGAGCTTTTGCCTCCTTGCTGTGCTGGCATCAGGTGTCACTCAGGAATCCAATGCCCTGGCAGTGTCCTCAGAGGGATTTCCTTCATTTGTTTGTGTGATTCCCCTTTTTCCCCTCCTCGCTCACTCCCAGATTCCCTCTCCTTGGGGCACCCTGGTTGCACTGTGCACTCCCCCCTGTTCCTGGGGATGCTGAGGGAGGAGATGGTGGCTGCAGGCTGTAGGACACCACCTGTAATCAGAGCCCACCAGGTCCCTGTGGCTGTCTTCTGCTCCAAGATCTGGATTCAGGGCTGGCTTTGCCTTAATTTGAAGCTGGGAGTGGGGATGGTAAATACCTCTGAAGCTTGTGGAGAAGTCTTGCCCTGTCATGTCTGTGCCTACAGAAAAAATAAGCAGCAGATTTCATTAAAATCACTGCTTTGAGAGGTATTTCATCACCCCACACCACGAGGAGCCTCAAAGCCTCTGCACACAGGGTGGAAGGAGAGAGCCAGGGATGCTCCACGTGGGGATTTTCTACAGAGATGAGAAATCTTCCTGTGCCACCAAGCCAAAGAACACCTTTTCCAGAGCAGCCAAACTGGGGCACCTCAGGGGATGGGGATGGGGCAGTGGCACCTCCCTGCTCCTTCCAGGCTCGAGGCTTTCTGGGCTGCTCCACAGCCTGAGTTTCACAGTTTGTGTTTGCCTGGAGATGCCTGTGGGTGTTTGGGGCAGGGCTGGATCTCCTGGAGCACAGGGAGTGCAGAGATGCTGCCCTGGGGGCCTCACATCCCTGAGGACATGGAGGGGACTTTCTCCAGCCAGGCTGTCACCTAATCCCTCTCACATAACCCCTCTCTCAAAGGTGTTGAGCTCCAGCTGGTTGTGCTGCCCTCATTGCTCTTATAGGACAGGGATGGCTCCAGCTCCTCTGATCATTAGGAACCTCTCCCCTGCTCTGTCAGCCTGTTTATTTCTGGCTGCTTTGTATGTATTTATTTTTGTGCCAATGCCATCATTTCAGCTTCAAAAAGCTGCTCTACCTCTTTGCTACAGACCTCCTCCACCTGCAGTATTTATAAAGACCAATCACATCCTCTGCTTAAAAACCCCTGAAGTCCTAAAACCCCTGAAGTCCTAAAACCCCTGAAGTCCTTGTCCAGAGCCAGAACAACAGGATGTTGTTGTCCATTAGGAGGATTTGATTGTTTTCTAAAAAACTTAGCAGATGGATGTGTTTTCTGTTTTCCAGAGGCTCTTTATATGGAGATAGAGATGATTAAAATCACCTTGACCATCCATCTTGCAGGAGAGGGATGTGAGGGGCCCAGGCACCCTCTGCCACTGCAGGAACAGCAGCAGGAGGAGCTTTGTGAGCCCCTGAGGGGCACAGGGGTGAGCTGGGGCCAGCCAGGATGGGGGAAAGTGCCCCAAAACGTGGGATTGGTGGCCTTGGTGCCTTTAAAAGCAAGGTCAAACCCACAGCTCTGTCAGGAGAAGAGGCAATTAGTCTCAGCACATGCCAGCAGGGGAGGGACAAATTGGAGAACAGCGAGGGCTGTTAAAATTAAAGTTAATCTGTCACTAATCTCTGGTTGAGAAATCCGGGAGGGAAGAAGAATGAGGCAATGTTAGTGAGGGATGGCTGGCTGCAGAGGGGCTGCTGCTCTGCAACCACAGCAGAGCTGGGCAATTCAGCAGGGATTCATCCTGCCTGGACTCAGAGCCTGTGCAGGCCACTGGAAGCTGTGCTCCAAGGGAAATGGGTGGGAAATCTCCCACTTTGGGGCTGTTGTTCCCAGCCCAGGAATGGTCACAGCCCCAGGAGCTCCAGGAGGGTTTGGACAATGCTCTCAGGCACAGGGAGGGATTGCTGGGGTGTCTGTGCAGGGCAATCAGAGCAGAGCTGGGGAATTCAGCAGGGATTCATCCTGCCTGGACTCAGAGCCTGTGCAGGCCACTGGAAGCTGTGCTCCAAGGGAAATGGGTGGGAAATCTCCCACTTTGGGGCTGTTGTTCCCAGAGTGAGCCCTGCACTAGGGATGGTCACAGCCTCAGGAGCTCCAGGAGGGTTTGGACAATGCTCTCAGGCACAGGGAGGGATTGCTGGGGTGTCTGTGCAGGGCCGAGAGCTGGATTTGATGATTTGGAGTGCAAAGCTGTCCTGCTTCCCCTTCCCACTGCTCCCTGTGCCTTGGGATGAGGATTTGGGACTCCTCACGGATTCCCACTGTGGCTCGTGTGTCACTTGGGCTGGATTTGCACCAGCCCTGGGGCAGGAAAGGATTTGGCCCTTCCCTCAACACCCAGAGGGACTCAGTCCTCAGGGTGGCTGTGCTGGGCTCACATCCAAGCCACCCCCAAGGCCTGGAGCCTTTGGTAGCACCAGAGGCCAAGCAGTGCCCAGAGCAGGCACAGATCCACCACATTCCCCCCAATCCCTGTCAGTAACAAGATTAACCCATGACAGAAAGGAAAACCAATCCTTTCCTCCCACCCTGGCAGTGAGAGGAGAGCCTGCCTCAGTGCCACAGGAGGGAGCTGGGCATGGATTTGCTCTGGAGGAGCTCTGGAGACCCCCTTGCACCTTTGGGGTCACCACTGCCTCTCACCCCACTAGAGGGACAGCAGCAGAGTGCTGGAACCTGATGGGACAGAGGAGGAAAAGGGGGTTCAGAGGGAGCTGCCGTCCTCAGCCCCCCCTGCATCCACGAGGAAAAGCAGAGGAGGAAAAGCAGAAGCTCCTTTAAGGACAATAAGAGAGCAGGAGTTTAATTTGCACGTTCTGAACGAGCTGCTGGAGGTGCTGATGTCCCTGCCCAGAGCTCTGAGGGAAGGAGATTAGGCTCTTGAAGTTAAAATTAGGTTTTGTGGAATATTCCTCTCCCCCTGGCTGAAGGCAGCCGTGTCACAGCTGATTCACAATGTCCTCCCCAGCCTGGGGGACTGGTTCCTGCCATCCACGCTGGGAATCTGGGCTCGCTGCAGCCTCACTGATGCTTGGGTGGGTAAATTTGGGTGTGATGAGCCTGAATGAAAGGATTTGGAAGTGCTTAATTGTGGTAGCTGATAGCTGGAAGAGGAGCCAAGGAGCAGCACCACTGAGAAGGTGAATTTGTCCCACCCAGGAGGGCTCCAAGCACCACACTGGGGGGACAAGCTCACAAATTGGGGATTTCTGGCTAAGATGGACCCATTTGGTGGCGTCTGGGGACAACACACAGGGCTGTGTGCCTTGCAGGGAGCTGCCCAGCTCCCAGCTCTGCAGGGAGGACACGAGGGCCAGGGTGGGGTGTGCACAGAGGGTTAATCCCTCTGCTGACCCATTCTGGGCTTGTGAAGCTAATGGAGCATCCCTAACCAGGCCGGCTGCAGGGTTGTTGTCACTCAGCAGAGCCATATGGGCAGTGCCTCGCCCTATAAATCCCCTTATTGTGCTGTTTGTCTCTCCAGATTGGCCACTGGCACGTCTCTGAAGGGCTCAGCATGGACAAGAGGATCTTCTCCTCCAACATTTCCGACAGCCTGTTCAACACCACCCTGATTGTCACCACCATCCTGGTAAGGGAGGGGGGCACCTGCAGTCCCCCCATGGGCCAGCCCAGCCCTCAGGTGTGACCATGTGCACAGGGGTCTGAGCATGAGGGAGGAGATGAGGATCTGACTCCATGTTTCAGAAGGCTTGATTTATTATTTTATTATATATATTATATTAAAACTATAGTTTTAATAAGTTTGGGGTTAGAGCCAAACTTGGATGTTTTCTAAGCTTTGAGGTTAAAACTGGATATTTTCTAATGCTTGGTGTTAGAACTAGACATTTTCTAAACTTTGGGGTTAGAACTAGACATTTTCTAATATTTAGGGTTAGAACTAAACACTTTCTAATGTTTGGGGTTAGAACTAGACATTTTCTAATATGTAGGGTTAGAACTAAACATTTTCTAATGTTTGGGCTTAGAACAAGATATTTTCTAAGGTTTGGGGTTAGAACTAGATGCTTTCTAATATTTAGGGTTAGAACTAAACATTTTCTAAGCTCAGGGTTTAGAACCAGACATTTTCTAAGCTTTGGGGTTAGAACTGGATGTTTTCTAATGTTTGGGCTTGGAACTAAACCTTTTCTAAGGTTTGGTGTTAGAACTAGACATTTTCTAATGTTTGGGGTTAGAACTAGGCATTTTCTAATATTTAGGGTTAGAACCAGACATTTTCTAAACTTTGGTGGTAAAACTAGACATTTTCTAAACTTTGGTGGTAGAATTAGACATTTTCTAATATTTAGGGTTAGAATTAGACATTTTCTAAGGTTTCTCCCAAACCCCCCCGCCCCGTGAGCTCTGCCCTCCCTGCTCCGTGCTGGCGGGACACCTCGGCTAAGATGGGAATGACAGCTGCCCAGTTTCACTGCAGGAAAACCCTTACTTAATGCTGAAGTGGAACCACCAGGAGCTGGAAGGCAACGACCGCTACGAGGGTTTCTGCGTGGACATGCTGAAGGAGCTGGCCGAGATCCTGCGCTTCAACTACAAAATCCACCTGGTGGGCGACGGCGTCTATGGCGTCCCCGAGGCCAACGGCACCTGGACAGGGATGGTTGGGGAGCTCATAGCCAGGGTGAGTGGATTTGCTGCTCTTTTAAACTGAGCTTTGGCGCTGCAAAGCCGCCGCGCTTCGTGGTGATGAGGATGGGTTGGGTTTTTCCTGTGCTTCAACTACAAAATCCACCTGGTGGGGAACGGCGTCTACGGCGTCCCCAAGGCCAATGGCACCTGGACAGGGATGGTTGGGGAGCTCATAGCCAGGGTGAGTGGATTTGCTGCTCTTTTAAACAGGGCTTTGGCACTGCAAAGCCCCTGTTATTCGTGGTGATGAGGATGGGTTGGGTTTTTCCTGCGCTTAAACTACAAAATCCACCTGGTGGGCGACGGCGTCTACGGCGTCCCCGAGGCCAACGGCACCTGGACAGGCATGGTTGGGGAGCTCATAGCCAGGGTGAGTGGATTTGCTGCTCTTTTAAACTGGGCTTTGGCACTGCAAAGCCCCTGTTATTCGTGGTGATGAGGATGGGTTGGGTTTTTCCTGCGCTTAAACTACAAAATCCACCTGGTGGGCGACGGCATCTACGGCGTCCCCGAGGCCAACGGCACCTGGACAGGCATGGTTGGGGAGCTCATAGCCAGGGTGAGTGGATTTGCTGCTCTTTTAAACTGGGCTTTGGCGCTGCAAAGCTGCTGCGCTTCGTGGTGATGAGGATGGGTTGGGTTTTTCCTGCGCTTAAACTACAAAATCCACCTGGTGGGGGACGGCGTCTATGGCATCCCCGAGGCCGACAGCACCAGGACAGGGATGGTTGGGGAGCTCATAGCCAGGGTGAGTGGATTAATTGTTGTTTTAAACTCTGCTCTGATGGGCTTTGGCACTGCAAAGCCGCCATCCTTCATGGTGATGAGGATGGGTTGGGTTTGAGCCCGTTTTGGAGGCTTGGAGCAGAGGGTTTGTGTGGCATTCACACAATGGATCCCTGGATTTTTATCCTAGGAAGCTGAGAAGCCTCAGAGGAACAAAAAAAAAAAAAATCCATCCCTGTTTTTTCTCCTGGGAAGCTGAGAAGCCTCAGAGGAAAATGAAAGCGATAATTGTGGTGGTGTTTGAGGGTCGCCAGGACGAGGGAAGAGATGAGAATCTTGAGTCCATGTTTCAGAAGGCTGATTTGTTATTTTATGATATATATGATATTAAAAATGCTACACTAAAACTATACTAAAAGAAAGGGAAAGGATGCATCAGAAAGCTAGAAAGGAGCAGAATGATACTAAAAACATGTGAATGCTCAGAGCCTCGACACAGCTGGACCATGATTGGTCATCAGGTTAAAACAACCACATGAGACCAATCAAAAATGCACCTGTTGCATTCCACAGCCCTCAGAGAGTTATTGTTTGCATTTCTTTTCTGAGGCTTCTCAGGAGAAAAAGCCTAGCAAAAGGATTTTTCAGAAAATATGTCAGTGACAAATAATTTTCTGATTTGTTTCTCCTGTGTTTTGCTCGTGTGGAATGTGTTTGGAGATTGTTTACCCACAGGTGATTTTTTCATTGGTTTAATGTGAATTGTTTTGACTCATTGGCCAATCAGGGCCAAGCTGTGTTGGGACTCTGGAGAGAGTCATGAGTTTTCATTGTTATCTTTTTAGCCTTCTGTAAGTATCCTTTCTGTGTTCTTTAGTGTAATTTAGTATAGCATTCCTTAATATAATATAGTATCATAAAAAATAAGTTAGCCCTCTGGGAAGATGGAGTCAGATTCATCATTCCTCCCTTTGTCTGGGGGAAACCCAAGGACAGTAGGTTTGCACTGTGTTCTCCTGATGGAAAATGTGTTTCCTGGGGTGGTGTGGCAGTGTAGGAAGAAGTCAGAGCAAGAGCAGGGCTGTGGGATGCTCTCAGGGGTGCTCACTTTGTTGGGAAGGAAGTTTGGAAATGAGGTTTGGACTCTGGGATCCCATGTAAAAACTCATTACAGAATAGATTATTTTTTTTCCTGGTGGAAAGATTAACAAAAAATCGCAACATGGAAATGCAGAGCTTGGTAGAAGCTGAAAAAATTTACCAAACGACACTGGTTTGGTAAATAAGAATCCCATTTCTGCCTAGAAAAGTTTTGGCAGATTGAGTTCAGCTGCTTAGCTCAGTGTTGCTTTTGGAGAAGCACATTTCCTATTTCCTTGAAGTGTGTGGCTTGAGATCTTTTCACTGCTCTGCTCTGTGGAGCTGCTGCCCAGCAGCAAAGCTGAAAACTGAATTATTTTGCTGGGTTTGACAACAATTCCGTGAACACCTGGGCTCAGCCAGCCTGGACCCTCCTCCCTGCTCTTTGTTTTCCCCTGTGGTATTTCCCAACCTCCCTGGAGCTCAAACACAACTCACAAAATGCTCTGAGATCCTTAGGAAAACAGGCTTAGCCTCAGCTAAGGGTGGGATTGATGCTGTTTAAGCCAATACTTCCTCACTGATTCTGCCTTGTCATTCCTGACGTGGCCCTGAGAGCCCAGTGCCCCTTTCCCAGCTGGTGACAAATCCATGGTGACAATGTGGGTGGGTGACAATCCCCACTGAGTCATTTGCCTTCTGCAGAGCAGAGGAGCAAAGGTCCAAACCCGTGCTCTGGGGATCTGAGGCTCCTGCCAGATCTTTCCTCCCTGGAAAATGAGCATCACTTCACTCTGTGGTTTATTGGGCACAGTGGAATTTGGGGATTGAAGTTGAGGATGGAAGGATTGAAGCTGGGGATGGATTGAAGTTGAGGATGGAAGGATTGAAGCTGGGGATGGATTGAAGTTGAGGATGGAAGGATTGAAGCTGGGATGGATTGAAGTTGAGGATGGAAGGATTGAAGCTGGGGATGGATTGAAGTTGAGGATGGAAGGAAGGATTGAAGCTGGGGATGGATTGAAGTTGAGGATGGAAGGATTGAAGCTGGGGATGGATTGAAGTTGAGGATGGAAGGATTGAAGCTGGGGATGGATTGAAGCTGAGGATGGAAGGATTGAAGCTGGGATGGATTGAAGTTGAGGATGGAAGGACTGAAGCTGGGGATGGAAGTGTGAGGATTTTGGAGGTCTTTTCCATGGTTCTGTGGTCTTTAAGGGTCCAGGATCCCTAGGAATGCCCACTGGCACCTCCTGGTTTTTCCCCACAGGGTGCAGGGTGATGCTCATCCCACTCCAGGAGTTCCAACTGAGCGTTTGAGGTCAGCTGGGACAACTCTTTGTCTGGCAGAGGGAGGGATTTTGTGTTTTCTGAGGGTCACAGACAGGGCACTGAACAGACTGGAGACTCCCCTGAGCTCCCCCTGTCTCTGGGGTCACCCTTCCCTGAGCAGTCGCTCTCAGTGCCAGCTGAGATCCCACCTCCATCTGCTCCTCTCAAAGAGCTTCTGTGAGGCTGTTTGCAAATGCTCCAGGCTATTGGCACCGTTTTTCTCCCTCCTCGTGTCTCTCTGTGTGTGTACACACACACAATTACACTCCTGCAACATTCCTTTGGGGAGGCAAAGGGAAGGAGCTGAGAGCTCAAAAGAAGGGAACAGCCATCAAACTTTTGGCCTCCTAACCCTGGCAGTGCCTCTTCATTAAATGGGACCTTCTGGAAGGTTGTTTTTCTCCAGTGATGAGTATTTTAACTTCATCTTCACACAGAAACCGTTTGTTTCTTCTGCAGCTTGAGCAGGGTTTATTTAAGAAAGTTTTTTACTTCTTCTGCAGGGCAGAGCTGTCAGAGCCTGTGAGGCTGGATCACAAATTGGGGAAGAGAAACAGCTCTGTCTCTTGTTCTCCCTGAGAGTTTTTATGATGGTTTCAGCAAGTTTTTGATCAATCCCAGGCACTGGGCTCAGGCCAGCCAGGGCAGAGCTGGGTGTGCTGGGTGTTGTTTTTATTCAGGGCTGCCTGGGATGTTGTTTTTTGAGGGCATTTCCCTGCCCAAGGGGCTTCTGTCCATCCTTGACAGTCAGTCCCCAAGGGAGTTCATCCTTGTTCACCCCTGTCCCATGGGATCCAGCAGATCCTGTGTTAGGTGCACATATTCCTCTTTTATAATATATATAATTAATATAATTATATATATTATATATAATATATTAATTATATATAATTATATATATAATATATAATATATTATATATAATTAATAGAATTATATATATATTTATAAATATATAATAATCACTATATTATATAAATATTTATATGCTTATTTTCTATTTAATTATATATATAGATTTCTATATGTGTTGGGTGCACATATTCCTCTTTTATAATATATATAATTAATATAATTATATAGATTATATAATATATATTAATTATATATAATTATATATAATATATAATATATTAATTATATATAATTAATATAATTATCTATATATTTATAAATATATAATAATCACTAGAATCACTAGAATATAATAATCACTATATTATATAAATATTTATATATTTATTTTCTATTTAATTATATATATAGATTTCTATTTTTACTCTGCCCCTTTAGGACAAAAAGGGGATCAACTGGGGCACAAACCTCCCACAAAAGTCCCCAATCCTTCCCAAAAATGAAATCTCTGCCTCTGTCCAGCACAGTGTCATTGTAGGAAAATAATTTCGCCTTGATCCTGATCAGCCATCAGAAAATAAGGTTTGACTCACACTCACTTAATGTGCAGGACCAAAAGGTCACAGAATTATCCAGCCTCCCCTGTAATCCCTCTGTGGCACGGAATCTCCTCAGAGCAACTCTGGGCTATTGGGGAGAAAATGTTTCATTTTATTGCTTCTGAATTAACCAGCTATTGATTTATTCCTAAGCCCTGGGAATTCCATCACAGCTAATTGTGCACCCTGATATGGTTGAGCAGGATGCTGGACAGACATAAATCTGTTTTTGACCCAGATTCAGCAGTACAAATCTTGTGAGCAGGTCAATAAAACAGGTTGGGAGGTGAGGAAGAGGGGATGGGATGGCTTGGGAATCCTGCACAGTTTGTGATCAGCTCATGGAGCTTTGGCTTGGGTGAAGTCACCTGGAAGGACTCAGAATCACAGAATGGTGATT